AATTTGCTCTGTAAACTTTCACCCAAATCATACACACACACAAAAGAGTGACTGTTCCCTGGGGAACCTTCTGTTGGATCTGGATCCTGTTGTGCTGCCTGCCAATCTTGGGCTCGTCAGTCCCTGCAGCTCCACGAGTCAGGAACGGGCTCCAGCTTGACATTTGGCCCATGGACTTGGGACTTGCCAGCCTCTCTAACCGTGTGAGCCATTTTCCAGAGATCAACTTCTCTCTCTATATATACATATATAAGCTTGACTGGTTTTGCTTCTCTAGAGAACCTAGCCTAAGGCAACATTTCCGGGACCCAAATCTGTTTGTTGGCCTTAATACATGCACCTTCATGGACGTTCTCATACTTCCATTACGTGAGAAGGGAGGGGATTGCCCACAGTAAGTGCTCAACCAAGTTTTTCTGCAGGAAAAATTGCTAAAAGTACACTTGGTAGGTCAAATGTATGCAGACATCTTGGGTGCTTCACGGACACTGCCAGGCTGGTGCTGGAAAGAGCACCATCCATAGGAAGGTGCTGAAGGCCCGCGAGGCGGCCCGTCCCCCGCCCGCCATGACGCTTTGGAGCTTCTGACTGTGTGGCAGTTCAGCAGTTACCATTCTACAGTGACCTCGGGCAGTCTCTGTTCCTTCACCTCAAAGGTACAGACGGAGATGGTATCTGCCATCAGTGGAGCTGCGAGGGTCTCGTGAGTCCTGTGTGAACTTGTCAACAGTGGCCAGGGACTGGTAGCGGCCACTGCACAGAGGCTGTAGTTTACTCCTCCTGTGCCTTTCTGTTCCTGTCCTTCACCCATTTCTGGCTGATTCCTAAGAGGTCCCTGGGCGGCACAAGCAGTTTGTGCTCAGCTACTGGCCTCTAGGTTGGTGGTGAGTGCACCCTGATGTGCCACAGAAGAAAGGCCTGGTGATCTGCTTCCACATCCGTCCATCACACTGGGAACTGAGATGCTTCTCTACATCCTGTACAAGTTCTCGACGGTAATCCCCGCGACTCCCCCAAGCATGTCAGTGGTTCCATCTGTCACACATAATTTTGAAGCACACTGGACACTGCTTAGAAGGTAAAGGAGCCGGGCTCTCCAGCTCTCTGCAATGGCCACATTCTACCTTCCTCGTCAGAAAAACACTGGCTGTTAGCATACTCTGAATATCCACACAGGAAGTGACCGCCTCCCTCCTGTCAAGCTCCAGCTGCCAGTTTCCAGGCGCTTCTAACCTGTGACTGCACTACTCTGATATGCGTAAAAGTCGCAGATTGTCATGGATGCACAGTCAGGGATCACGTTCCTATTGTTGTTGTTGTTATGTGCCGTCGAGTCAAACCCGACTCATAGCGACCCCTCCTTGGGTTTCCGAGGCAGTATCACTACGGAAGTAGGATTGCCCAACCTTCCTTCCGAGGAGTGGCTGGTGGGTTTGAACCGCCAGCCGTCTGGTTAGCAGGCAAGTGTCTTAGCCACTATGCTACCAGAGCTCCCACGTTCCTATTAGCACCCTCATTAATATGAATTACTAAGGTGTTCACTACACCAGGGGTCAGCCAACCTTTCTGTAAAGGGCCACACAGTAAAGGCTTTGGGACACCACGGGCCAGGCAGCCTGTCGCACCTCTGCCGTTGTAGCATGAAAGCAGCCAGCCAGCGTGTTAATGATGCCGTTGATAGTGTAGTTATTTACCCTTGGATAAAGCCTTACCAATGGATACTGAAGGAAGAATTTCACGTACTTCTCATGTGTCCCCAGATCCCACTCCTTTTTCTCCCCAACCGTTTAAAACTGTGAAAACAACCCACAGTCCCCGGGCTACACACCAGCAGCGTGGTCTCCTGACCCTGCTTCACCCCCGCTGTCCTTCAGAGCACTGTCCACGGCAGCGCCACCCTGCGGGCCTGCTGGCAACAACAGGCCTGTCACGTCTGTGCCTTGCACTGCGCACACTGTGAGCTGCTCCCGGCTCTGGGGCACTGATGGGGGCTGGTGCAACTGAGGGACTGCTTTTCATTGTATTTAACTGTAATTAATTTTACTTAATTCTAATTAAACAGCCACACAGCTAGGTCTGCCACACTGGACAGTGAGGTCTATAGACTAAACGCAAATAAAACCTACTGGGGGCCCTCACACTCAACACAGTCACAGAAATAACGGGATTTACCTGAGTCAAAGCCACACACTTTTACCCCAGGACGGATGGGCAAAGCTGACTTAGCTCTGAGAGGCCTTCCGCCCTCAGCGTTTGGAAGCCGGAAGCTGCCAAGTTCCCTGGAGCCAGCAGAAGGCTGGCAGATGGCCAAGCCCCTGCTCCGTCAGCCCCGCCAGGCCATGGCTCCTTACAGCCACCCATTGCCCGGCTTGCCCCTGTCCTTCCCACTCTACCCCCACAGGGCAGAACAGAAAGGAACCGAGTCAGAGGGAGAACACACGGTCTGTCATCTTCCAGGCACTCAACGCTCTTCCACTATAACCCGCCAACACACCCACCGCCAGGTCCAGCATCCGGTTCCGCGTCGTGATGGACAGCTCGATGGTGGACAGCTGCACCTCCTTCCAGACCTCGGGGCGCAACTCTTGGGAAGGGGCTGCGCAAGTCCAAAAGACACAGGTCAGTGCACCCACCCCTCCACTCACCAGAGAGCCCTCACAGCAGAGCACCCACTCACCCACTCACTAGAGCACCCCATCTGCCCACCAGTGTCCCCCCCACCCACCAGAACGTGCCCCAGAGCACCTCCTCCCCACCCACTAGAGCACCCCACCCACCTGCCAGGGCATCCTCCACCCG